TACTTGTTGATCTCGGTTAGACGACTAGGGTTAGCAATCTAATGCTCGTAGCTCGTTAATTCCGTGTGTCGATTGATTATCATCCCGTATTGGTTATGGCATGAGACTCCATGGAGCCCCCACAACGTTTGGAAAACCGGATACTTACATCCATGGAGCCCCCACAACGTTTTACATATATATATATATATATTGACCTCAACCTTAAGAACCAACAAATGATGATACAAAAGTTGTGAGTTCCCATGGACAATTTTAGTTACCAATCAAATTACAACCCTAAACCTTCTCTTCTAAATATGAACCCCAACACTGATCAACCTTTCAATAACTTTGCTCTAATGGACAGCTTCAACTTCTCCAACCACGGAGGAATATTTCATCAGCCTCAACTAAACCTCGCTTTTCCAGACGAAATCCCGAGACCCGTTGGGCCTCAAAACCCGATATTCGACCCGCCGCCTGCCCACATCACCTTCCCACGGGCCCACGAGCACGACGCCCTGCTCGGTAATTCACACAACAATGTTGGTAAAAAACATGAAGCCGTGCAGGTAATTATTTCGATTCAAAATTTGTGTGGTTTAATTTTCTTTAGAAAGTATATAATCTTTTTTGTGACAAAAAATTAATATTTAATTTATTTATTAATGGTAGGGTTATGGAGGGAAGAAGAGAAAGAGAAGTAATGAAAGGGAAATGGAGAAGCCAAAAGAAGTTGTTCATGTGAGAGCTAAGAGAGGGCAAGCCACTGATAGCCACAGTTTAGCTGAAAGGGTAATTTTTTATTACATATACTCATTATTTATTTATTTTTTATTTGACAATTTCATTGCAAATTAAATAATTATTTTATCATAAGTAAGATACTAAAATTTAAATTAAACTATTTTTTTTTTTATTATTTAGTGCCTTTTCGTGTCGTAATTTTATCGCAGTCGTGTTATTTATCCATATAATTATCGTTTTTCTTTGAAATTTCAGTTGCGAAGGGAGAAAATAAATGACAAGCTAAGGTCCTTGCAAGATCTTGTTCCAGGGTGTTATAAGGTGATTGAAATATATATCTTGATACTTATATTATATTCCTATATATATATATAATTTTTTTTTTTAAATGGAGAAAATATATATGATGCAAGTGAAATTTAAATTGGCAGACAATGGGAATGGCTGTAATGTTGGATGTGATAATTAACTATGTAAGATCTTTGCAGAACCAAATTGATGTAAGTGAACTATATAATTACCCGATTTAATTTGCTTTGACTCTCCTCTTTACATTATTATTATTATTATTATTATTATTATTATTATTATTATTATTATTATTATTATTATTATTATTATTATTATTATTATTATTATTATTATTATTATTATTATTTATTTTTTCCTTAAAGTTGCTAACTTGTATTTGATTTCCCCATTATTATAATAGTTTCTCTCGATGAAACTATCTGCAGCAAGTTTATATTATGATTTCAACTCGTCAGAGGCAGAAGCTATGGAATCAGTACATGTGAGTACATTAATTAACTACTTTATACATATACATATATATATACACACTCAAAATAACTTTATTTATATATATATATATATGTATATATATATTTTAAATAATTTTAATTATATATATAATAAAAATTGAAATTGAACAATGTTTATAATGCTTGTATAACTAATTAAAATATATATGGTATAACTAATCACATAAAATAAATTTATCGAACCATTTTAAATTTAGTTAACCATCACACAAATATCAAATTTGAGGGGTTTATTCTTGATAAAATTATATAATTCTTTGAAATATGAGAAATAATTGTTCAACGAATTTAATCTGTTCCTAAAAAAGTGTTATTTTTTCTCTCCTTTTTATTTTTGTTTTCTTGTGTCATGACTTTTTTTAAGTTGTGTCCTTAATTTAAAATAACAAATATATTTTTGTTAAACCAATGTATTTCAATAGAAAATTTGTTGCAAAAGCACTTAAAAATTATTTTTTCGATCATAAATTATTTATATAATATATGCTATAAATTTTGCCCGTGTAAATTGTAAATTCTGGCTCCGCCCTTGATCCAATTCACTCATATAAATTTTTTTATGTAGAAATAGTTTAACGTATAATAGTTTAACAGTAATGCACCTCTATCCACGGTGGGCCATGTTAATATACTCACCGTTTATGTGGCATGCACACATTGACGATGTTAATATGTTCAAAAAAATATATAACCAATGTGTGCATGCCAAATAAGCCGTGGGCATATTAGTATGTGCCCACCGTGGGTAGGGAAGCATTAATCGGTAGTTTAATTCTATTTTTGTTAAAAAGAAATTAATCTATGTGTGGCTTTTTCTAATTAAACAGGGGACAAATGGGTATGAAGCTGCACAAATGGTGGAGAAATTTGTTGGAGAAGGTTATGGAGGATTTCCTCATCAGTTCCAAACATTTAATAATTGGTCTCTTTGATCTTTAATTACTTGATTTTTCAAAGTTGGTAGACTACGGTTTTATTCAAAAAAGTATATGTACAAACACAATAACATCACCACCCAAATTAAAATTCTCCACATTATATATATTGTCAAAA